CATGCCACCTCCAATTTTATTAGGACTATTTGATTTCCCTTTTGCACTCTTGTAGTTTGTAGTAGTGTGTTGCCCATTAAAAAAGGTGATATTTTCCCCCGTTGTGGCTTTTTATTTGTTATTTGTGTACTTTGGTACTGATGCTTGGTATTTAACTTTAATAATATATGGTTTTGTGCATCATACTGATTTAGAGGACGGAAGTTTATCCTCCTTTTTCTAAAAAAAGTGATAATATGAAACAAACCTATTGGATACTTCTTATCTTAAATTGCTCGATACCTCACTTTGCATAACATAATTTATTTTGTGTTCCTTGGTTGTAATACATAGTGTTACTATTCATTATCCAGGGTGCAGAATAAGTTATTCTTCACCCGAGGTAATCTTACGATCATTTCATAATAAAATTACGTTTCGAATTCAAATAGTTACATTTTTATTGATTCACTACGTAAAATTTGGACATAAGAAAATAAAAATATAGGTCATAAAATAAGAAAATTTGCAGTTTATGTGTATTTTAGACTATATTTTTACGTTTCTAATTTTACATAACATAAAATATTTTTTACGGTGATTATATATTTTCTTACGGTCCCTTTTTGCGTCGGAAATAAGACAAAACTTACGGAACGTAAAATTACGGTGTATTGATAGTAAAATAGAGGGGGGAGGGGGTGAAGAATAACTATTCCCCATCCAGGGTGACGAATAGCGCGACCCTTGTAATACAAAACAATATACTCAACTTATAATTTGAGAACACTCTAGTACACAAGGGGGCTAGTAATAAGCCCCCCCCCCCCCTCGCACATGATGGATGGACTGTGTGCGATAACAAAAATAAAACCGTGTGTCTGGAAAAATATGTAAACTAGACTATCGCGCACCACCGAGAAATGAAAATTGTGTGTGATATTGTCCATACAGTTCTGATGAACAAATCGTTTGCGAAGTGGTCAGTTATCCCATAGTTTCAAAAAGAAAATTGTGTGCATGTGAGGGCACACAGTTTCACAAAGACAATTGTCTGTAATGACTTGAACCATAACTTATGAGAAAACCGTGTGCGGTTCACGGACGTTTCATATTGACCCGCCATGTGAGATATGTTTTCCATCACATATAGTTATCCTTATGACTGAAAGTGCGTTATATCGACTAGAGGGGGGGTGAATAGGCGATTTTTATGAAAGTCTTCAAAACGTGAAAGTTATGAAGACAAACAATAGAGATATGCCTATCACTATGCAGCGGAAGTTAGATTACACTAGGCAAGCCATGGTCAAGTATTCAATTGAGTAAAAGCACAATGACAAATAGCTGCAGTGTAATAAGGATCAGGTAGGAAGAAGTTATGAAGCCAAACAAATCATAAAGTTACGTTGTGAAGACAAAAGATAGAGCAAGCATGCAATGGCTTCACAATGAGTAACAGTAAGTAAAAGGAAGTGAAGATGAAATCAGTGACTCATTGAAGACAATGATTTGTTGGACCAGGTCCAGTTGCTGTGACAACTGTACGTCTGGTTGGAGCGGCTAGGTATTTAAACCAAAGGACACACAGTCCCGGACACCCAGTCCTGAACACGCAGCTCAAGACACCCAGTCCTCACCGTTTTCTCCTTGAGCTAAGGTCACACAGACCTCGCCCAATCACTCTGGTAAGTCTTCAAGGTAGACTCCCAAACCTTCACAAACTTCGTTCACCGGCAATCCATAATGTCTCTTGGATGCTCAGAACGCAACGCCTAACCGGCTGAAGGATGCACAGTCCTCAAGTGTAATAAGTCTTGAGATCACTCAGACAAGAAGACTTAAGTGATGCCCAATTTACTCTGGCTCTGGGTGGTTAGGGCTTTTCTCCTCGCTAGGAATTTTCTCTCAAAGGCTTCGAGGTGGGTTGCTCTCAAACGACAAAAGCCGTGCACTGAAATCTGAGTATCCAACCGTTTATGGTTGTAGGGGGTGGACTATTTATAGCCACTGGGCAACCCGACCTGATTTGTCCGAAATGACCCTGGGTCACTAAGGAACTGACACGTGTACCAACGGTCAGATTTCAAACTCACACGGCAACTTTACTTGGGCTACAAGTAAAGCTGACTTGTCCGACTCTGGACAAGATTTGCTCTCATAGTCTTCGCTCGAAGATATAGGTTTTGAATTAGGCATCACTTCAGTCATTCTGACTGGTTCTCTTGGACCCTACTTAACAGTACGGTGGTTCCTATGACTCAACACAAATGAAAAAGAACTACGAAACATCTAAGTCTTCGAGTTCCATAGGCTTCACGTGGTGTCTTCTCTTGTCATAGTCTTCAATGTGAATATCTTCATATACCACCATTGTCTTCAATGTCTTCATACATTTTTAGGGGTCATCTCTGGTAGTAAAACCGAATCAATGAGGGACTTCTACCTGTGTTATCCTGCAATTCTCACAAACACATTAGTCCCTCAACTAGGTTTGTCGTCAATACTCCAAAACCAACTAGGGGTGGCACTAGATGCACTTACAATGACTGTGTGTGATAGCATTACCTTTCCCACACATGTCTAATGTCCTAACTGTTTGCGATACCATAAACTAGATAAGATGGACCTTTGTAATGGCGTTGTCGCTAGTACCAGTCTGCAAGGCTCGTCCCTCGATGCTAGTAATGGCAGACACCCATTTCCGCGGGTTTTTTTTTCACTCTGCTCCCACCAAACACGGATTTCCTGTCCCTCTTCACGAGCAATGGTACAAACACGGGCTATGTTTTACGAGGATTCACGTAGCGTCCTAGTTGAAATCTTTTGATTGGGCAAGTTGGAATTTTTTGATTGGATAGAGATGAGGGTGAGGGGCTCACCCCCACTGAAAATAGGGGGGCATCCTAGTTGGAATCTTTTGATTGGATAAACTGGAATCTTTTGATTGGATAGAAATAAAGATGAGGGACTCACCCAAAATCAGTGGGGGCAGAGGGATTAGTCATGGAAAAAGGCCGTGACAGGCCTGTAAAACCCGGTGTGTTTAGGATTATCGCCACAATAGACGGCCAACTTATTGCTTATACATGCATGGGTGGATCGTCGACGATGAATGGCGTGTACTCTCAATTATATATAGCTCAACATTTCATCTCAAGCAAACAATCAATCACTACGATAAATACTAATGATACACTGGCACGCCAGGGATCAAATGTAAGGTGCATAAACATTATTATTGCACAACATCACAATTCAGCATGGCTCATCATGCTAGCATAATGCTACAAGAAATGCAGATAACACCAGTGTAAACCTAGCCATCTGTCAGGCCGGGCCGGGCCGGGCTTTGGGCCAACCAAAGCCCGACGCAAAAATCCCAGGTCCAAGCCCGGCCGGTCGTCGGGCCTAAAAATTGGGCCCGAGCCTGGCCCATCACGCTAAAAGCCCGCCAGGCCTCGGGCCACAGGTCGGGCCTCTTCCTTAAACGGCGAAAACGACAGGCCCGGGCTCGGCCATCGGGCTCAAAATTTAGGCCCAGGCCAGGTCAATGGACAAGATTGGGTCGGGCTTTTTCGGGTCAGGCTGCCCATAGCCAGGACTACACCAGTGACCGGTGACAACACATCAGCTTGAGATGACACGACAGCTGTAGTACTCGAGGACGCTCAGGATCCGGGAGCTTATATAACTCACTCATCAATTATTTTCACGCTTGTCCCTGTGAACCTCGTCCAGGATCACAACAAGACTTGCGATGAACATGTGGTCGACGTGGGGGAACACGGTCACACTGAACGTGTCACACAAAACGGGCAGAAACTTCCATCATTTGATCATGCGTCGCAACTAAAACTGCCAGCAAAATGCGCTTGTTTGCCATCTGCGCCGGATACCATTACCAATAATTTTTTATCTGCACATTTGCACTCATAAGCACTATCTTAGCAACATCCCTTCATGTGAGTTTGATTGTAAACTACTCTGAAAACTATAATAAAATCAAGACATATATGCTAAGTTTGCTAAGAAAAACAAACTACAATAAAAATGTATGAAAATTAAAAATAATTTTTTCATATATATCCTTTGATTTAGGTTGTCCAAAAGTATAAGTTGCATGTGCTTTGCAAGATTTATCTGACATATATGCTAAGTTTGCTAAGAGATACGAACTACAATAAAAATGTATGAAAATTAAAATTAATTTTATCATATATATCCTTTGATTTAGGTTGTCCAAAAGTATAAGTTGCAGGCGCTTTGCAAGATTTATCTTTAACCAAGAAATGAGCTTTGATTTTTTTTAAAAAAAATACAGACATGATTGTATTCTGATTTAGCACTCAGTGTCTATAGTTATAGTTAGAAACCAATATTTAGTCATACCGCCTCCAGTTTAATTAGGACTATTTGATTTCCCTTTTGCACTCTTGTAGTTTGTAGTAGTGTGCTGCCCATTAAAAAAAGTGATATTTTCGCCGGTTGTGGCTTTTTATTTGTTATTTGTGCACTTCACACCGGCTTTTTATTTGTTATTTGTGTACTTCAGTACTGGTGCTTGGTAAACTTTAATAATATATGCTTGTGTGCATCATAATGATGTAGAGGCAGGAAGTGATCCTCCTTTTCTAGAAAGAAGTGACAATATGAAACAAACCTATTGGATACTTCTTAGTTTAAATCACTCGATACCTTACTTTGCATAACATAATTTACTTTTTGTTCCTTGGTTGTAACACTAAACATGTGCAGCATTTCATCTCAAGCAAACAAACAATCAATCACTGCGGTAAATACAAATGATACACTAGCAGGCCAGGGATCAAATGTAAGGTGCATAAACATTATTCCACAACATCACAATTCAGCATGGTTCACCATGCTCGCATAATGCTACAAGAAATGCAGATAACACCAGTGACAACTGACAGCACATCAGCTTGAGATGACACGACAGTCGACAGCAGTAGAACTCCGAGGACGCTCAGGATCCAGGAGTGTATATAACTCACTCATCAATCTTCGCGCTTGTCCCTGTGAACCTCATCCAGGATCACAACAAGGCTCGCGATGAACACGTAGTCGACGTGCGGGAACACGGTCACACTGAACGTGTCCCTCCCCAGCAGCACATTGGAAACAGTCAGCTTACGGCTCATCTGCAGAGACAGATGTAACCGGTTACATACATATGTTCGCTAGATAAAGAAGTTGTGACACTCCACAGCATGATCAGAAGCTACTTACTTGAGCAACCATGGTGTTGGAGTCGCCAAGGTAGAAGACGCAGGACCTGTCGAAGTAGCTGCCCTTGATCTTGAAGTCGCAGACCTGCTGCGCGGTGTTCCCGGCCAAGAAGACATCCATCTCCGTCTTCAGTTGGATCAGTGAAGTTGTCTTCACGCTGAAGAGCAGGTCGCCTGAGTTGGTGCTGTCCCCTCTGAACACCTCCCATCTGTGGTGCATGCTGAACACCTGATCAAGTGAAACTGTTACTATGCCACCACAATTATAACTACGGCGCTTCAGCTACAGCTGAACTTGGATGTTTTTTTAACAGTGTTACTTGATTGAGTTTCAGTTATTATGAACAGTTGAAAGGGTGTGATGGCAGCAATCTCCAGCTCCTGTTGGCGGTTGAAATTAGTCGAGTTCAAATTTGAAGGGTGTTTCACGGATCTGATCTGTAATTGTGTTGTTTAAAATTAAGCCACAAAATTCAGATGGCACTAATTGTTTATCTATGTGTATAATAGGTCGCCAAGAAAGTTTTTTTGCCACGCGAAACTTTTCCAGATTAATTTCTTGGACAAGAACAAAAAAAACTTTGACCAAACATTCTGGTGTTCACAACTGGAATCTGCAGCGTTATCGCAAACGGCAGAAGCATTAGAAGCACTGGAATCACTCGGAATCCCCATCCTGCTCTGCTTGTCGCAACAAAACAGAAAGAAAGAAATACTCATGTTGGACTAGTTGAACAGTTGAAGCTGGCAAGAACAACACGAGATCAGAAGTCCACAGCTCCTCATCATGAATCAAGTTCAAGTTGAAGTTGAACGGTTGCTAAGAATACTGGCAGTTTGGAATTAGTCAACTCCATTTATACACGTCGTTTTCCTGTGCTGCTTTCTTGTGATGATTTTGCAATAATTTGGACTGTGACTTGTGAGCATGATGTAGAGGTCAGAAGAGATATCTCCTCAACTGGAAGAATCAAGACTATTCCTCCTCCGGCTAAAAAATAAATAATAATAATAATAATTTGGGTTGTGACTTGTGCGCGTGATGTAGAGGTCAGAAGATTATTCCTCCCCCAGCTCAAGTTGAAGAATCAAGACTATTCCTCCCCCCAGCTAAAAAAAATTAAAAATAAATACCAAGACTATTCCGATTTGCGACGACTCAGTTCACCCTTGTCTACGGGTCAACGATCTTACATTCTTAATCTGTAAAGAACTTGCAGACATGTCTACGGATGACGGAAATTTCAGCGGCGCCAGGCCAGGGGAGGGAGATGGACGGGCAGACAAAGAAGCGAATCTGTGGTGGAGAAGGGACCTTTTCTTGCATGGTGAGGAGGGGCATCCCGGCGCCGTCGAGGATGGTGCGGCGGCTCCGGATGCTGAAGATGGCGCCCTTGACCTTGAGCACGACGGCGCCGTTGGCGTCGGTGATGGCGAAGTCGCCGTCGGAGAGGCTGAGGGCCTTCTTGGTGACCGTGAGCGGCACCACGTAGGGCGCGCAGAACTGGTGCCCCACCACCGGCAGCGGCGCCGGCGGGGCTCCGCCGGCCATCGCCATCGATCCGGTGGCTCAGGCGCCGCTTGCTCCGGCCGCTTCCGTGCGGTTCTTGGTGGCGCCTCTGAGCTCCTGGGAGACGGTGGGCGGCGGTCTGGGCAGGGCAGGTGGTGTCTGCTTGCTCGCTCGGGCGATGGATTCGGTGCGCGTGCTTGGCGTGTTTTGTCGAATGGGACAGGGGAGGGGGTGGGAAACAGGGGACGGTGGAGCTCCCTGCCTCCGTATATGCCGCTGGCAGAAGAACAATAATGGTGGACGGCACAAAGTGGTGGAGCGGCAACAGGTTCCACACGACAAGTCGAGTGGCTGTGATCCTAAGCGAGTCTAAGTCAAACATTTTGAAATTTAAGTGAATCTACTGAATAAATATTACCACTTCATACAAATACAAGATAGAACTTATACTCCCCTCACCGTCAGCGGCTCCCTCCGTTCCGTAAGGACTTGTTGTCTCGAGATTGTAACCCGACCATTATGGAATAACACTCTTTAACCTCGCAAAAAGAAAATTTCTTCTTGATAAACTCGGTCAAGTGTAAAAAAGTTTGATTTACTGAAATGAGTCTTCAATGTCAAGATTAATTGATTCCCAACCTCCCCTCTCCGATTACATATAAGGATAAGCTCACACTCTAAGTTGGGCTACTGCGTTGTTTTCCGTCTAGTCGAATGTATAGCGCATGCAATTGCAACAAGTTGTCGAAAAAAAAATAACAAATCCATCATTTAGGAGATTATCAGTAGGAAACAGAACTTTACTAGCCATCTTTTTTGTTTTGAAGGAAGAGAGTCAAACGTAGAAGTTCATGATATTGTTAAGTTTTCTCATTCGATTGATCAGGGTCGCCACATGTTGGCACTCCTCATGACCCGTTATGCATCCCTATGAACATTTCGTTTGATCAACAAACTTAGTAATCCCCCCAAAAAAGCTATTATGTGTCGCTCTCAGCTCAATAACAATGGTGGGAAAGACAAGGTAGAGTGACAAGCAGGGAGTGGACTCTGCTCATCATAAACTTATTCGCGGAGGAGAGACCATACAACATGACTCGATGGAGAAGAATGAAGAAAAGGTGAATGGTTTGATTGTGCTGGAGAATGATGATAAAAAATGGGAGCGTGGGTTCCAGGGGAGATATTCCGCCCCACAGCCTACATATGCTTCGCCTAGGGAGCCGAAGAAGAAAAAGAACAGGTAGCTCACGATCTAAAATTGGAGAAAATACACCATATGGTATCAAGTACATTGCCCACGAACATAACACACTAGTGCAGAACCGGGATTTAGCACCGGTTCGTAAGGGCCTTTAGTGCCGGTTCTGTAACCGGCACTAAAGGGTGGCGACTATAGCCCCCCTCCCTTTAGTACCGGTTCGGCATGAACCGCCAATAAAGTGCCACCATGTGGCACATGCCAGGGCCGGATGCGGGGAGATTTTTAGTACCGGTTGGTAACACCAACCAATACTAAATGTTTGGGGTGATTTTGGTTTTATTTTTTGTTTTTCCTTTAATTTTGTGTTTTCAATTTAATTTAGAGATTGTTTTTACGTTATAACGAGTTGTTAAATCATTAGATGAAAGTATCGTAGATTAGTTTCAACTGGATGCAGAGTTAGCTAGCTAAATGATCAAGTATATATATATATAATAATCCGGGGTGAAGAATAAGTAATTCATTCACTCGGTCGAACGACCTAGCGGGTGGACTTCATCGCAATCGCTCCGCGTGACCCTCGTAAAAAAACTTTTATTACGTCGCTTGTGACTATTTTTTCGCCGTTTAGGAGCTAACCCATGTCTCCGCAGTTTTCAGGCCGATTCAATCTGGGAGGGGAAGCGGCAAGCGGTTTCGGCGGCATGCGGAGGCAGATTTCGGCGGCGAGACGGCGGGAGCTACAGGTGGACTCGGCTGCTTGTGGCACTGGGCGTGACCCCGTTGGCCGGTGGCAGCGTCGAGGCGAGCAGGAATGCAGGAGGCTTCACGACGGCCGGCAGCCTTGCGGCGGCTGTACGCAGGGGAATCAGCCCCTTGCTCTCCTCTGCGACCTCATCAGTTGAAATCAAGAAGGCCATATCCCTAGCTCCCTCTCCACCAGAAACCGCTAGAATCGATCGCTACCTCCCTACCTGAGCGCCACCCGTCACCCCAACCTCCAGAGCCTGCCCATCAGTGCCTCAATAGGTCAGGAAATTTCTCCTATATGTGAATCTCGACTATGGTAGCAGTTCTGATTGTGCAAAATCACCAAGTGTGTGTCTTCTCCTTTTCTTGCATTTAATTGTTTCACCCAATTCTTTGATATGGTGTATCAAATAATCAGAATAGGGTAAGATAAGATGATCGTATGATTGATATGGTGAAATATGTTATGATTTAGGTAGACTTGGTTGTAATAGCTCGTCTATGTTAAATCAATCCACCAACATAGCTGAACGAATTTTAATGGAGATTCGTTAGAATTTGATTTCCGTGATGGTATTCTGAAAAGCAACTTGCAGCCCGGTATTGCTAGTGGCAAGAAGAGTACTCCTTCAATGTTACGACTGGTCTTGTTTGCTTTTGGAGTAGGTTACAACTTTATTATGTAGTTGATTCATTTTTCTGGCCTCAACTAAATCATTGTTTTCGAATTCAGTGTCCATTAGATTTTCACAAGGTGGAACATGGCCTGTCTCAAATGCTAACCTGATAGAATAAATCTCTGGGGCAGAGTCCAATTTTGTGTTTCAGCCCTACAATCCATACAATACTTACACGCACATTCATTGGAAAAAGGTTTTGTGCTCTTTAATCCACTTTGTACGTTGCCAACGTGCAGTTTGAATGCAAGGGGAGCTGATAAATTACAGATTTTCATTGTTGTTTCTGTTTATGTTGTAGCCTGATGTGGCATTATGTGAGCTCAAGCCTTATTTATTCAGGATGAATCTGGGGAGCTTTTTATACTCAAGGTGGTGTTACTGTTTTCACCTGGGTTTGTTTGTTTTAGACATCTTGCACAACAATATGTGAAAGTTCATTTGTCGAGACCTCATGTAAATTTATTTACTTAAGCCACTGTATTTGAAAGATTTTGGCTACGCTCATCTGCTATTTCTGCAATCCTGACGTCGGACTTGCTAAATGGGTAGTGAAAAAAAGCAGGATACATTGCATATGAAAGCAAGTTTTAAGTTGGATACTGGTATTACCATTTTAGTATTGAAAATACTATGACGTGAAATTTCGGGTTGTGGCTGCATAACAAGTTTTGTAGTAGTTAAGATGTCAGTCATCTCTTATGTTGATTTAGCCATGATATCCAATTTTTAATGCGGATGGAAACTGGGGTAACCACATCTATTATATGTTGTGGAAATCTCATATGTAGTCGACTTAACTAAATATGGCATTAGGAAACAAAAGCAGCCAGAGATACAAAAGAAAGCATGTAGCATATTCAGAGTTTGTAAGAGGTAACATAACACATTAGGAGTTGACACTGCTAGTGTATACTAACATTGGAACAGCTGCACATCTCAGCCTATCATATTTGGCAATTTGCTCTTTTAAAATTATCTGCATCGCCAAAGAATGTTCCAGTATCATACTGATTGGGTTGCACCACTATGCTAGATCATTAAGATTTGCTACTTTGTCTTACACACTAAGGTTATCTTAGATGAATGTTATGTTTCGTGTAACCAAAGATTGATAGTAGATGATTGATAATGGTTGATTCAAATAAACAAAGTACAAAGAGACGAAGCATGTTTTTTATCCTGCAATTACTATTGCTGGTATGTTTATAAGATCCAAAATGACACGTCTGCCATGAATATTTTGAACGTGTCAGCTTTTGAGGTGCTCTTATATAATTTAGCTGCAATATTTGATTCTTGTAATTTCCTATTATCTAATTATGACAATCTTATCTTCCATTTATGAAAGAAACCTTTCGCAAAAAAGAAGTATGAAAGCAACCAGCTATTTTCTTTGACCTGAATGCATCAGTAAAAATGTATTCATTAGTTCATGGTGACTTAAATATGATTTCATATGACCTGCAAAAAAAGATTTCATACATATTTGTAAGTTCTTAACCTGCTGCAACTTTTTAGTGATCCTTGCTTCCCCCTTCAGTTCCAGCAATAATGCCAAATCTATCTGATTGTAGCCCTTTTCACATTATCTTTTAACATGACATTTTTGTATTTATTGGAGCAAGTAATTTATCCTCAGTTTTTATTTTATTTTTGCTTTTCAGAGTGATTAGATGACAGGCACTACTTCCAGTAAGGTCAAGAAAATCCATACACGAGGTACTCAGGATTCTGCATGAGATACGGTGCATGCTGAACAACCAAAAATGAGGGAGACCATTCATTTTGAATGAGATCTGATGCATGATCCAATACAATAGCAACTAGTCAGACACGAATTGGTATCTTCATTCGAATTGAAGAACACTAGCAGTGAAGCATCTGCATTTCAGCAGCAGGGGAAGAAGTCAGCCCACCCAGATGCGGCAACACCATTACAAATGGTAATATCAGAAATGTAACTTCTGTTTGAAGTAAATGATAGGTGTCTCTGGCGCCAACACCTTGTCCCAAGAAATAGATATCTGATACTAAATACCCAGATAGTCAGTAGGGATTTAAACGGCACTGTATAAGCCCACTTATTGGTCAAACAGTTCAAGAAAGTATTTTTTTGCTGGAAAATGAACTATCGAGCTATTAAAAAAGGTCAGGGTTTGTGGCGCCGTTTATCACGCCATTTATATTCTGTTGGCTGAATGCTTTCCTATGGATTTTCTGAATTTGCTTTCTTTGGAAGTAGGCCAATTCCTGTTATCCTACGTTGTATGCAAGTTATCGATGTAATCTTACAGTACTTGGTAAGTATCTACACGGGCAACTAAAAAAAAAGAATTATCTACACGCGAGGGACCATACTTCTTTGTACGTCCCCCAAGCTGAAACTATACTGGTGGCAAAAACAAGACAAAAGATTTTCACGTGGATGCCGTCTTTCTTCAAAAGAAAATGATTTCCATGTGGTTTGTTGTAATCTCAGCATGTGGGCTGACACGGTATGATGGCTGTAATCTTACCTCGTGTCTTTCTTTCCAAGAACCAAATCTTACCTCATTCTTTTTGAAGTAATATTATGGCACTCCATTTTTGCTTTACGGAACACAGACAGGTTACCTTTTTCAGGCTGTAATTTTACCCCACATGCCTTTGTTTCTTACGTTTAGAATTGTGACCGTGAGAGATGGCTGGGGTGAGGAATAAGAATTCCTCACCCAGGGTGACGAATAGCGCGACCATATATATATATATATATATATATATATATATATATATATATATATATATATATATATATATAGCGACCATATCCATATCACTAGGTGATCAAGTAATATGGATACGGCATATACTTGATCACTTAGCTAGCTCCATGCACCAGTTGAAACTAATCTGCGATTTCTTTCATAAATGAAATAATAACTCATCATCATCATATTAATATAAAAACTCTTGCATCATATATCATCACCAACAACAGTACTAGCTAGCTAAAAATCATCATATATAGTCGACATTATCACTATTTAATCATCATAGTCGTTACCGCTATCTAATCACCACCAACACTAGTTTAAAGAAAAGACATTCACTTGTACCAGAAGCAAAGATATCATCGAGTTCAATATGGTCATGAGATTAAGTTCAGGATCGACGAAGAACACGGACATGAGAGGGCAAGTACTAAGAGCATGCTAATCACTCCTGCTGCTCTCTCTCAGGTAAAAGAGCATAGAACATGTATAGCTCTCCTGATTCATCATATTGGAGCATGCAAATGAACCTGTCTCCTAATTGTGGGCTGCGCTTCTGTTTGCTGCCCCCTAGTACTTCTCTGTGATCCTTCACAATTTTGCTCCAGTCTTTCACTATTAAGCATTCCTCGGTTGTAGAAATCCTGAATGCACTCATGTGCAATGTACGATATCTTGGCCGTAAGCTAACCATTGACATGCGAACTTTAGTCTCGATCCACTGAGGCACAACTATCATCGGGAGTCCCTGTTCAAGAACATCGCATATGGTAACATTACTTAGAAATGAAGTTTAACTTGAAAAATAATGTATGCAAAAGATGCACTGAGGAAAAATAGTAAAAATCTTACCATCTTTCCTAAATAGATGTGACCGTAGTTCAATACGATCACTATTGGTCCCATGTCTTGAGTACTAAGATTTTCAAATTCAGGAAAATAATTTCTCTTGACATCATCAAGATCCTAAAGCCATGAAACATAATGACTTATCTCCTCGCAGTTTAGTTCAGCCCCGGGACAGTGGACGGTACTGTCTACCAAGCGTTGGACATGTTTGCTTGAATGGAAATAAGCTGTCAATAGAAATTAGTTGTCAACTATTTTTAAATAAACAATATCAAAGACATAAATATGGTTGAGAAACTCACATAATGGTTGTACTGGAGGCGTCTGCACATCGACCCAAATGTCTCTATTACCTTCAATATCATCTTCGGGAAGAATATCAAAGGTGATAAACATATCAGACTCAAATGCATAAGACTTGCATAGTGCTTGCCAAGTTTTGCATTCAAAATAAGTGTAGGTGTCTGCATTGTATAATTTGATGTTGAAGGTATAACCATGCTCGGTCTTCAAGTAAACTCTCTTTACCTCCATAGTTTTGTTAGGACTGAATCCTATCTTATCCAAGACAAAAATTCTAGCATGGCAGGGGATACGCTAGTAGAATAGTGAAATTTTAAAATTGTAAGTTGAAGCAAATGAAGCATACGTCATGCTTAATTACGAAAAGACTTGTCGTTGTGACTTACTGTATCCACTTCGAAGGTCTCATCCAGCTTGATGCTAAAGCGCCTATCATCAACTAGGAAATTTTTGTCGCACAGGTGATACGTCTCCAACATATCTATAATTTTTTATTGTTCCATGCTATTATATTATCAACCTTGGATGTTTTATATGCATTTATATGCTATTTTATATGATTTTTGGGACTAACCTACTAACCCAGAGCCCAGTGCCAGTTTCTGTTTTTTCTTTGTTTTAGAGTATCGCAGAAAAGGAAAATCAAACGGAGTCCAATTGACCTGAAACTTCACAGAACTTATTTTTGGATCAGAAGAAGCCCGGGAGACTTGGAGTCCACGTAAGGGAAGCTTCGAGGAGGCCACGAGGTAGGGGGCGCGGCCAGCCCCCCCCTGGGCGCACCCTCCACCCTTGTGGGCCCCTGGTGGCCCCCTGACGTACTTCTTCCGCCTATATATCTCCATATACCCTAAAAACATCCTGGAGCACAATAGATCAGGAGTTCCGCCGCAAGAAGCCTCCATAGCCACCGAAAGCCAATCTAGACCCGTTCCGGCACCCTGCCGGAGGGGGAAATCCCTCTCCGTCGGCCATCTTCATCATCCCGGTGCTCTCCATGACGAGGAGGGAGTAGTTCTCCCTCGGGGCTGAGGGTATGTACCAGTAGCCATGTGTTTTATCTCTCTCTCTCTCTCTCTCTCTCTCGTGTTCTTGAGGTGATACGATCTTGATGTATCGTGAGCTTTGCTATTATAGTTGGATCTTATGATGTTTTCTCCCCCCTCTACTCTCTTGTAATGGATTGAGTTTCCCCTTTGAAGTTATCTTATCGGATTGAGTCTTTAAAGATTTGAGAACACTTGATGTATGTCTTGCCGTGCATATCTGTGGTGACAATGGGATATCACGTGATTCACTTGATGTATGTTTTGGTGATCAACTTGCGGGTTCTGCCCATGAACCTATGCATAGGGGTTGGCACATGTTTTCGTCGTGATTCTCTGGTAGGAACTTTGGGGCACTCTTCGAGGTCTATGTGTTGGTTGAATAGATGAATCTGAGATTATGTGATGCATATCGTATAATCATACCCACGGATACTTGAGGTGACATTGGAGTATCTAGGTGACATTAGGGTTTTGGTTGATTTGTGTCTTAAGGTGTTATTCTAGTACGAACTCTAGGGCTGTTTGTGACACTTATAGGAATAGCCCAATGGATTGATTGGAAAGAATAACTTTGACGCTATGTTTGGATGTAGACATTGAAGACCTTGGTATTGCATTGGCTCCAATGCCTAATATCCCAAGGCATTGGTATTGAGCTGCAATGCCACACTTTGTGTTTGGATGTTCTTGTATTGGGCACTTGGAATTCAAGGGACAGAGCAATGCCAAATCTTGTTTGGATGCCCATAGTGTAGAATTGGACATTGTGAAGTGTATGAACAATATAATAATTGCTTGTACAAGTTTCGAAATGAAATCTGATCATCATGCCATATACTTGAGATTATGTATTATAATACAATAAAATCGCATGCAAATAATTTAAAAATTGGTACAGACAACATCAATTGTCCAAAATACATGAAAAATAGGCTGAAAAGTGTAGATAGGCAACAGAACCATATAATCATGCATTGGACAATATGAACTATTCAAAAGCGTGGAAAATAGGCTCAAAACTGTAGGTAGCAGCAGCATATTATGATAGCCTTGCCAACACCATTACACATTATAACATGTCTCACATCATCCAGAACACATAACAAGTCTTATGCATCAACCATGCAACTTTAGGACAAGTTCAAAAGTCTCACACACACTAGGAGAACTAAAAGTAGCAGTACACATACATATTATCTATCAAGAGCCATTCTACTATTCCAACATCAACAACCATTCCTTCCTGAAGTTCATGGGAAGCTCAAGAAGTGCTTGGTACAAGCGTTCGCTAAGGATCAACTTACCATAAGATCGCAATATGTCACCACGAGCCAAATCAGGGATCATCTCAAGTGTCGCGAGGATTTCAGCAGGAGGTGTAACTTGGGGCAGAGGTAAAGGCTCAAGTGACTTCAAAGCATCATTAAATGAGCCTTTCATATCCCCAAGTAGGCACAAGATGGCATCACCGGTCCGCTGTTTTTTGTGTGGCACTTCAGGAGAGGCTTCATTGGGTTCCATAGTTGGTTCTACAACAGTTTCAGCACCTGTGACAGCACCTTCACCATTTGCATGATCTTTTGAGTATATGGTGGTGATAGCATCCCAATTTTTAATGACCTTGTTCTTGTAAAATCCCACTTTCTTGTTAGCTTGCACACACACACACACACACACACACACACACACACACACACACAAAGAGAGTTGTCAAAGAAAGGTATATCTTACATATGTGCAATACAATCAAAATGTGGAACGGATAAATTTCTTACGGCGACATATTTAATCCATACATCTTCACTATCAATTGACAGCTTGTTATTGATCCAATCCCACCCAAATCCACTTTGAGAAAGCATCTTGCTAATGGCCTCATAGTGCTTTTCAAAGGTTTTGCACCTTGAACTTATGTTTTCCTTTGTGATGGTCACATTGCACTTCTCACGCACATTACCTATAACGGCACTGTAGACATGGGACTTCCATCCATTCTGGGCATGATCACCATTGTTGTGATACTCAACAAGGACCTCCAGTGGTGCAATGTCCATTTCATCTGTCCATGTGAGGTAATTTCTATCGATTTTTTTCTACTTTCTTCAGCCATGGTCCTACAAGAATCGCTGTTAATACATCGTCAAAGTGTGTGCTAATAGTCCATAAGGAGCGCCTGTAAGTGCCACCCAGAATCCTCATTTTGATACCATGGCCAACTACCAACAAGAACATTGCCACCTTTTCTTCCACGAAAACATAGACACTGTCACAAAGACCAGCCCTCTCACGCAACATGGTGCATAAGTCATGGAAGTTTCTTTTAGTTAAACGTAGCTGATCATAGCATGTTACTTCTGCCCCATCATACAATCCTTTTAGCAAATACTTCCGATGAATGTTTTTTTCCTCATCGTCAGTAAAGCTTCCTAAATCCCTTGGTTCCCTCTGCGTACTAAGATATGCTATCCCAAGAAGAAACGATTCAAAGTACAGTTTGGTCAAAACTATTCGCCTCCTCTTTCTTCTTTTGTTCTCCTCGTTTATGTAAGCAACCAAGTCCAAGTCAGACATGGTGCAGCTACATTACATTTCAGAAATTAGACATGAATGCCTCATTCAATTAGCCATGAAAGACAAGCCATCAAAAATTCAGCAAGCGAGATATCAATCAGCGGGAGACAAGCAATCAAGCAAGCTATCAATCGTTCATATATGAATAGCTATAAGCAAGACACCATGCAACAAGCTATCTAAAATTATTCCAAAACAAGCAATCAATCAGCCATGAAAGACAAGCATTCAGTCATATGCTGCAGCTAAGACTAATGTACTAATGTGTGCTACTACAAGTATCAAAATTTCAGCAAGCATTCAGTCATATAAGACATGGTACAAGAAGCCTTCACTATGAGGTATACTGATTTTTTCTATACATCATATGAAGGCATGACCAAACTGAAAATATTTGTTCCTTGTGAAAAGCACAAATTACTGATTAATATACCTTCAGTCAGCCCAGGGATGTGCCAAACCAAGCCAAATAACCTGCAAAATTAAATTAAGAGAGACAATTAGTAAGCTAGTATCTTAGCATGCAGAAGTTGGATGTATGCAAAGGGAAAGACAATGATTGACAGGCAGAGGGGCGACCATGGGGTAGAGGGAGGGACAACCGATGGGGAATAGGGAGGGGAGGCCATTGGATCTGACTGGGAGGGAGGACTATGGGATTAGGGATGGGTCAGAGAGAAAGAAGAGGGATATGGGTGGGAGAGGAACAGGGCTGGGAGAGGGCCGTTCAGGGGATGGCTGACCGGCGGCGAGGGCGCAGGGGACAGA